ACGAGTGGAACGTAAGTTTTCCAAGTAGTTTTCAGCGAAAACTGGTTTTCGTTTTACAGATTTTACATGGACGAAAACACATGTTTTAGGTCGAAAACTAGTTTTAGCAACGAAAACATGTTTTCGATGTCGGTCAGAACATGGTATTAAACTGGCTTTCGACCTAAACCTCGTGTTTTCGTCCATATAAAATCTGTCAAACAAAAATAGTTTTCGCTGAAAACTACTTGAAAACTCACGCTCCACTCATTCTAATCGGTGTCTGCACTGGCTTTTTTCAATTATTTATCGAAGTGGAAGTCACAGCCTAATTCTGAATACTCCCGGGGAGTTTGTTCTCCAGGAATTTGTATCTCCCGAGAAAGAAATCCTCAAATAACTCCCAGGGAGAAGCATTTTTCCCGAAAATTTGGGAGGAGGAAACACAAACTTCAAAAAAGCTGTTTGACACTTTTTTTTACAGCTCAACTCCACCATTTAATATAAAAAATCCTCACGGAATTTTTACTCATGATAGGAGGAAAGAGAAAAGAGAGAAAACTCCCAGAGAGTTTCAGAATCAGCCTGTTGTTTTATCATCCACGCCACTTCAGATTTATTGTTGATTGGCTGGCCAACTTAAAATAAGAAATAAGAAAAAGGTTAATGAAAAGAAAATGAAATAAAAGGATTTTTTGTTTTTTGTAGCAAAACTGTAAACCAAGGATATAAGAAATGTCAACGAAAACACTAACAGCCGATGTGAACAGCCTTCAGCCCACAATCCCAAAACTCGTTTCAAAGTGTTATCTTTTTTTTTTGGTGTAGCGTTTGTTATGGCCGGTGAATATGTTTTCGTTGTCGGTCAGAACATGGTATAAAGAACTTGCGAATTAAATCCATCGAGTTTAAGTATCGACCACTCGCATATTTATCGTTTTTCGCTCAACTATAGGCGAGCAAAAAAAACCTATTTTCCAAAACAATTGGCCGCTGGAATTGCTATAAACAATTATATCCAATATTTTGGTATATCACATTTGAAGAAGCAAAAGTTTGTACATTAGAAATATGGCTGCTGCTACAGTGCAAAAATTTCACTGCGGCGAAGTATTTATTACCACCAATTTTTCTATGATTCTGGAGTGTAAATCGTGCAATGAACAATTTGGTGTTTACACAACATTCTTGGATCACATATTTGAAAAACACTTCGATGATTGGAATGCATCGGAAAAGTCAAAACGCCAAAAACCTAAAAAAGTGGCGACCATTACTGAGCAGGAGATTCCTAAGCTTTCAACTGATGATCAATACGTAGAAATTGATTCCACAACTTTGAAGGAATTTATGCCGGAGAGTGAAGAGGACGATTTTATAACAGAAGTATTAACACCAATGGATGATGATGCAGTGGTTGTTGAAGCAAATGAAATCGTAAGCTTTGCATATTCCATTGTTATTTATCTTATATGTAAGTACTATGTACATAAAAAAATTTTCCAGGAGGGCCAACCCACTCCCAAAACTACAAAACCAGCTGTGCGACAGGTGGGTACTTCGGTGACTAGAAAGGATTCTACAGCCTCCGGCAGCGAACAAAAATATAAGTGCAGAATTTGTGGTTTCGCGGTTTCCGGCGCACATAACCTGCGTGGGCATGAACAACGGCACACTAATGTAAAGCCTTTCACATGTCTCAAATGTGACAAGGCATTTTATACCCGCACAGAACTGAATACACACACTAGGCGGCACAATGGCGACAAGCCTTTTGTTTGTGCTTATTGTGGCAAAAGTTTCATAACAGCTGGAATGTTAACTATGCATGAAAAGCGGCATCTTGGCCAGCGCCAACATAAATGCAATCAGTGTGAGAAGAGCTTCTATGAGGCTTTTCACCTACGAAATCACGCTGTTGTACATTCCCAGGAACGCAATTATGAATGCGAAACATGCCAGGCAAAGTTTTCTCGCAAGATAACATTACAGACCCATATGAAATTGCATGAAAATGCATTACGCTATGAATGCGTCATCTGCCATATGCGTTTCAATCAACGGCCTACGATGCTATGGCATGTGAAGAGTAAACATAACGTTCTGCGTGCTGACGCCGATAACAAAGGCCCTGCAAAAGGTGCTAATCCTATCGGAGATGCGTATGAGTGAAATTTCTTACATATTTGTATCAATAGGATTAAGTGATTCACATAGCAGTCGGGTTGAGTCTACATGATTGGAACGAAATAGATGTATATATATTTGTCCAAGGACTGTCGTACATGGGGAAATTTAACAATAAAATAAAAACATTAAAGGAAGGAAAAACGGAATTGTAACTGTTTGTACATACATATGTACATATGGCTCATTTACTTCAAAACTGTGATAACTCAAAAAAGCCAAACTCGAGAAAAACGGATTTTTAAATTAAATAGACCAAAAGATGGCGAGAACCACAAACTGATCCTTGAATCGCCTGTTTGTACAAATTATTGATTGCAGAACAAAACAGATATGCTTCCATAAGTATCTTCCAGTTCATTGATCAGGTGTGAGCAGGAGTGTTACAAATTAATATAAAAGTTACAAACAGTAACACAAAAACAATTGATTAAAAATTGACAGTTAAACATTTTATTTTCCTTTACACAATAAAGGTCATACAAGGACCAAGTACAGGGTTAGTCAACATTAGGTCCATTCCTTATCTTTTCTGACTAAAATCTGGAAAGTGTCAAGATGCAAGAGCGTAAAAAATGGTCACAAATAAATATTAGGTACGTTTGTTAAAATCTCCAGTAAAAAACATTCAACAGCAAAATTCCGGCGAAATGTCACCTGTGTTCTCACAAGAGAAAAACATCCAAAATAGTACGCGAACAGGAAATTTGTGTTCTCACAAGAGAAAAATATCCAAAATAAAGAATGTACACGAAAAAAACTGGTCGCACATAACCAAGCATAGCTCGGTTAATCATAACATTAAAATAAAAATCGGTAGACACTTAAAAAGCTGGAAGCATTTTCCACCTTACTGCATCATATCTTTTTAGTAACAAAAATCAGTGTAGAAACGAGGACCAAGAAAGAAATCGATCGCGAGTTAATATTGCGCAAAAAGCTGGAAAATCCCAGCATGTTCCATAACGACATCGCAAAAAAGCTAAAATTTCCAAAGTCTACCGTTACTTATGTGCTTAAAAAATACAATGAATGTTTATCTTTAAAAAGGAACCCTGGTAGTGGCAGAAAAAAAGGATTTGCTTGCGAAATTAAGGCAAAGGAAGTGTTATCTGCTTTTAAGAAAAATCCTGGACTTTCGGTAAGAGATGTCGGCAAAAAATTAAACATGTCGTCTTCGTATATACAAAAAGTATGCAAAACAGCAGGACTACGTTCTTACAAAGTGAATGCAGCACCTAATCGCAACGGTAAGCAAAATTTGTTGGCGAAACAATGTGCTCGGAAATTGTACGACAGTCTCATACAAAAATTTGGCTGTATTGTTATGGATGACGAATCGTACGTAAAAGCCGATTTTAAACAAATCCGGGGCCGCGAATTTCACACTGCAAATAAAAGAGGCAATGTTGCAGATAAATATAAAAACAAAAAGTTTGACAAATTTCCCAAAAAGTTTCTCATTTGGCAGGCAATTTGCCAATGCGGCTTCAAAAGTGATCCTTTTGTAAGCACTGGTACAATTAACCAAGAAATTTATGTTAAGGAGTGTCTGCAAAAGCGACTTTTACCTCTTATACGGCTTCATAAAGATCCAGTGCTTTTTTGGCCTGATCTCGCGATATGTCATTACGGAAAAATGGCTTTAGGATGGTAACATAGAAACAAAGTGTATTTTGTAGCAAAAGAGGTGAATCCACCTAATTGTCCAGAGCATCGGCCGATCGAAGCCTACTGGGCCGTTATGAAATCCAAACTTCTTATGACCCACAAAGCTGTAAAAAACGCACAACAATTCAAAAATAAATGGCAGCTGGTTTCCAAGGAAATCACTGAAACTTCTGTACAAGGGCTAATGAAGGACATAAAGTCAAAATTGCGATCGTTTCTGCCCTTCTTTTGACATTTTTCCTGTAGTACCTGGAATTAATATGATCTATGATAAAGTTAAGTCTTTATTTTAACTTACCTTTTTCTCCATCATAGAGTATTCACATCAAAGAATAATATGCCTGTTCATGTAGTCAAAAGTTATCAAAAATTAGGGGTCTTCATCAAAAGTAAATTTATCATTTTGATAAACGAACTGTCAAACTTTGTATGGANTGCGCGTTATGTACATCTGAAATTCTCATTTCGTGTTGGCAATAGCCATGAAAACCATAATGAACGTGCAACCCTGTGCCAAACTCGACATAACCACCTCCGAGCAAACTAAGCAGCCGCCATTTAATTTGGCAAACAAAAGTTTGTCTGCATAACACCGACCTTAGTGAGATAAATGAGAATGGGTTAGTTTCCATCACACAATTCTTGTAGGGTAGCCATATAATTTTAATAATAAACAGTTTTATGCAATTATTTACCAAGGTGTGTTCATGAAAGGAGGATAAACTGATAAATTTAAGCAATTTATCTCTTTATCACTTTAGATGAAGACCCCTACTATCTATGCAGTTTCGGTGTTCATGTATCCGAAAAACTTCCAAAGTAAGGAAAATTGAGAGAGCAAAATTACAGTTCTCTAGTAGGGGAAGTTACAAATTTTTACTGGCAGGGGAAGTTACAAGTTTTTACTGGACAAATTTATGCCAGTGAAAATTTGCAAGCGAAAAAAAACCAGCGGATCGCATGTTGCTGTGTGCCATTTAAACTAATAAGGAAATTATTTATGTGGTTTTTATAGTCGAAATTGACAACATAAACCTATTTAAATATAAAGTAAGACATGAAATACTGTTTTATTAAGAAATTTCTACGAATAAACCACAAATTTATCAGCTGTCATGAAAACCAATAGTTACTGGTTTTACGTTTACTTATAACCCTTACTAAGTAGAATTTTCCTGTGGTGCCAGAGAGAAGCGACAGAAGTATTTTTATTCTTTTTGCGTAAAAATGCATATTTCGCATTATAAAAATCGTGAACGTACTGCTCGTCTCGTTTATCGAATTATGACGAGCAGTACGTTCACGAATGCAATAATCCGAAATATGCATTTTTACGTAACGAGTTGTTCGTTCACGAATGTTACGATCCTGCGTCATTCCGTTTAAATAGACCCGAGCTGGTTATTTTAAATTAATGTTAGTCATATGCAGCATTTGCTTTCGCATCTACACGAAGCAATTTATGTTTACTCTTCACATGCCATAACATCATGGGCCGTTGATTGAAACGCATATGGCAGATGACGCATTCATAACGTAACGCATTTTCATGCAATTTCATATGGGTTTGCAATGTTATCTTGCGAGAAAACTTTGCCTGGCATGTTTCGCATTCATAATTACGTTCCTTCGTGTGTACAACAGCGTGTGTACGCAACTGACGACCATCAAAAAAGCATTTATCACATTCATTACACTTGTAATTTCGGACATTCAGATGACGTTTTTCGTGAATATTTAACCTGCCATTAGTTATGAAACTGCTCCCGCAATAGGTGCACACAAACGGCCGCTCACCGGTGTGCCATCTAATATGTGTATCCAATTCAGTGCGTGTGAAAAATCGTTTATTGCATTTGGTGCAAGGAAAAGGTTTGCTTGTCGAATGTCTTTTTTCATGCTTTCTCAAAATTGTAATTTGAGCAAATGTGTGGCCACATATCCTGCATTTAAATTTTCTATCTTCTCCCTCCCGAAACGTGCGAGATTTAATAAAAACTGGTCGATATTTGGAGCTAGTCGGGTCCGCATCAGAGTTTTGCACAGGCTTTGTCTAACGAAATAAATATACATATACAGATGTAGATAGCAGTTATAAAACTTCTTACATTTCGTTTAGTCCGAGTAGTTTCCTTTCGGCTTTTTATTTTAGATGGGCACAAAGTTATTTCTGTTGACACATAGGCACCTTCGAATTCGTCAGTATCTCCGAACTGGTTAACTTCAGAAGAATGTCCTCTTTCGCTTACCTCATTTGTTGTAAGGGCCTCTTTAGATTCTGCCAACAAGTTAATACATTTCTGTTGTATGTCATCTTCACCTGTATCCAATGAGTTTAGTATATTTTCGTCGTCATATTCCGTCAATTCATCTTGGGTTTCATTAAATTTATCAACTTCGTCGAAATGTTGATCGAAGATATGGTTCAGGAACTTGTCATAAGCGGTGTATTGCTGCCAACAAAATTTGCACTCCACCATCATGAGGTAGTTATTCGTTATAAAAACTTCTCCACAATGCTGTCTTTGCTGTGTTGCTGCAGCCATACTTATTGTGTCTTAAACTCGACTTTTAAAACAAGATAAAACTAAACACCCAGCGCCTCATAAAAAACTTGAAATTTCTTGGCGTAAATAGTGATGTCGGAAAAACATCGATGAACCCAAAATATCGATGTTTTGCTTCGATGCATCGAAAACAACAAACAAAACTACGATACAATTAAATCGTAAATTACACAAAAATAATCGATTAATTTAATCAAATGATTAATCGCTGCCATACCTACGCATTTGTATTTTGGTTTGTCTTGTAATAAAAATTCGGTTAAGGACACAATAAGTATGGCGGCAGCGATACAGCAAAGACAGCATTGTGGGGAAGTTTTTATAACGAATAACTACCTCATGATGGTGGAGTGCAAGTTTTGTTGTGAGCAATTCACCGCTTATGACAAGTTCTTGAACCATATCTTCAATCAACATTTCGATGATGTTGATAAATTTAATGGAAATGTAGATGAATCGACGGAATATGATGACGAAAATATCCTAAACACGTTGGATACAGGTGAATATGATATGAAGTTTATTGGCATGTTGACGGGATGTAATGAGGCCCTGAAAACAAATGACATAAACGAGAGTAAACATTCTGCTGAAGTTAGCCTGCCCGAAGACAAAGAGAAGTTAGATGGTAGCTATGTGTCCACAGAAATAACTCTGTGTCCATCTAAAATAAACAACAAAAACGGTACTAGTCAGACAAAGGGAAATGTAAGACGCTTTTTAATTTCTTATTAAAATTGTTACATATTTATGTACATATATATATATATATATATATTCCTTGTTAGACACACCCTATGAAAAATCCTGGTAAGGATCCCATAAGCTCCAAGTATCGACCAGTTGCTATTAAATATCGTACGTTTCCTGAAGGAGAAGATAGAAAATTTAAGTGCAGGATATGTGGCTATGCATTTGCACAAATGCACATTTTGCGCAGTCATGAAAAACGGCATTCCACAAGCAAACCTTTTCCCTGTACGAAATGCAATAAACGATTTTTCACACGCACTGAATTGGATACACATATTAGATGGCACACCGGTGAGCGGCCGTTTGTGTGCACCTATTGCGGGAGCGGTTTCATAACTAATGGTGCGTTAAATATTCATGAAAAACGTCATCAGGATAAACGAAATTACAAGTGTGATGAATGTGGAAAACGCTTTTTTGATGGTTACCAATTGCGTACACATGCTGTGGTACATACGCGGGAACGTAATTACAAGTGCGAACAGTGCGAAGCCACATTTACCAGGGTCAAATCACTGCGAAATCATATGAAGTTGCATGAAAATGCTTTACGGTACGAATGCAACATTTGTAATATGCGCTTTAATCAGAAACCTTCCTTAATATGGCATGAAAAGAGCAAGCATGCTATAATGCGGGGCGGAACCAATGGAGCAAGTAAGGTTCCGGACGCGGGAATATATACGGAAGTGGCTAATATCTCCGAGACAGAGGACGAAAGTAAGCGTTGCGATTTAGAATTTGAAGACGCCGATGCGAATACGATAACGACGGTAGAGGCACTCTAGGAGACAGAAAGTGACACGGTGGTGGAATTTCCTTCGAAATAGNGATAACGACGGTAGAGGCACTCTAGGAGACAGAAAGTGACACGGTGGTGGTTCCTTCGAAATAGCGTGACCGAAAAGGTGTTATTGGTAAGAATACCGTGACCGAAAAGGTGTTATTGGTAAGAATACCACATATACACATATGTATGTAGGACATTAAGCTGGGTCTATCTAGAGATCGACGCCCGAAATTGCTTTCGAAGTACAACAATGGGTCTATATTATGATATATTGCGCCGCTTTAATGAAAATATATGTATATATACATACATATGTCAATTTGGAAACAAATTCTTATCGAAATATAATGTACATATGTACATACATACATATATAGATATGCGCCAAGAAAGGATAAGACGAAGCCGTATGTATAATTTAATTCGTGTATGTGTTTACTTGGATATTTTAGTTCATAAATATATTAACTTGAATTCATTATTCGTTCTACATATGTATGCATTTGAGAAAATATGTATGTATGCTCAATGCTAAATATTCTAGAACATATTCTCAAAATTGCAATATACTATGTATGTTTATGTACATATATACATATGTATATACCTGCATATAATATGATATCTTTGCAGCTTTGAATATGTATATTTAATATCCTCAATAATAAAAAATTCTTCCAAATTTGGAACTTGAAGATCCTTCACATATTTGGTATTCTTTAAATTAGTTATTTTTTTATTTATCAATGGAAATTTTGTTAATACATCATTTCATCAAATGTACGTATGTATATACATACATATATATAGTATATTACTTTCGTATCAATTTTTAATAGCGTAATTAAGTTTTGGAAATTATTGAAAATTTTTACCGAGTGTCAGCTTTTCTATACTTAATTATCGCTATTGACTACTGTAATTTCATAACAAAGATCATCTGCTTGTGTTTGCAACTCCAATTGATCCTGTGAATGTGTTCCGAAATGTATTTGCTTTTGTTCTATTTCTTCATCAAGTTGATCGTCCTCTTCCTGTTGCTCTAACAGCAATTGCTCCTCCTCTGCATGCTGCTGTAACAATTGCTCTTCTTCCAATTTTCTTTGTGTGTTATTTCGACACTGTATGGAACGTTTATGTGCATCAAAGTAGCTGATATCTGTAAACTCTTCTTGGCAAATTTCGCATTGAAAGTATTTTTGGTTAAGATGCAGTAGCTTACGATGCCGCGCCATCTTGTGTGCATCACGGCATTGCATGCCACAAAACGGGCATACCAACATTCGGCGATTACCCATATGCACGTTGCGTACGTGCTCCTGAAGCGAGAAATTCTTGTAGTACGCTTTGGGACAGTGTTCGCATTGGAAGCGTCTCATCTTTTCGTGCGTAGACTCGCGATGCCGCTTCAACATCGTGTTTTGTGAAAAAGTTTTACCGCAAATCTCACAAATGTGTTCTTTTTCCTGATGCCGCCGCTGATTGTGCACACGTAAGTCTTGTTTGGTTGAAAAGTATAGCTTGCATGGTTCGCACACATACGGCCGAATGCCCATGTGACGCCGAGAATGACCAGCCAAGTAACTGTGATCTTTGTATGATTTGTCACAATAGATGCAGGCATAGCGGTTAGTGCCGGGCACAAGATGTGTTTTTAAATGGGCAGAGAGTTTCGATTTGTGCATCACATCGGGGCAAATGCCACATTCGACAGGTAGTTTTTCGTCCGTATCAGTGTTCGATAAGGAAAATTCAACAATGGGAGTCTCGTCAACATCATAGTCGACTATGTTGGCTACAAGTTCGTCAAAGAGGAGGTAACGTTTAGGGCCTTTAGGTGCTTCATTAGGAGGAGAATGTGCCACCTCTGGCTTCTCTTCAATGTCTTCCTCTTTAATCAGCTCTACATTGGCCGGTAGTGGCTCATCCTCTATTTCCACAAGGCTCTCGGCCACTTCATAACCCTGTTCAGTGTCATCTTCCTCGATTACCTCCATTATAATCGATTCTGGCTTTATTATAATGTCTTCCAGCTGTTCCACCTCCACCCCGTCTTCATCTTCGTATATAAAGGTCTCTTCCTCCACAGAGTCGCAATCCTTAGTCAGCTCATACTCGATGAACCCGTCAATTTCCACAACACCGTCGCACATTTTGTTAACAACTTCTTTGCGAGGGAGTTTTCGTTAATTATTTGCTTTATATTACTAAATATTTCGTAAATTCTTCAACAGCGTAAGCAAAATCGTGTGAAAGTGATGCAATGAAAAGCCTTAATGATATTAGTGTCATCCGGTTACTTGCGCTTTGCGAGTATTCGAGACACAACACAAATAACTTTCTGCACAATAAATTTATTAAATTAATTTGTTTACAAACTTTTGCACAATTGGATGTACCGATAGGGCTTGCTGTATAAAAAAGTACTTTGCAATCGCGACCGTGATGAGTAGATTCCTGGCTTTTCACTTTTAATGCGTCACTGCCGTAGGGATGCCGAAAAAGATCGATGCATCGAAAATATCGATACATATCGTTTGACAGCACTTTTCGGAGTGACACCCAAGTCGCACACCGATACCTGCAGCTAAGCAGTCCCAAATCTATTGTGACTTGTACGTTGTCGGTGACAGAAGGGAAATGGAAAAGCGGAATTTCCTGTTCGCTAAAAGTATTTCCTCTAACCTCCAATTTAAAGAACTAAATTCAGTTTCGTGTGGAATAACTTACATAAAAACTTGCACGAACGAGAATGCGTATTTGAACTGAAAAGTTGCGACTTGTGATAGCTGCTGATAAATAAGATGCTTATAAACTTAAAGGGAAGTGATTACAAAGGTATATACATATGTACTCTTAAGTTTATCACCGAGTAGATAATTTCAGGAGCTAAAAGCCTTTCCAAAAGGTCAACAGGCCTTCCACTCTACATTCGTTTCTCCTTTCATTTTTGTATGGAGTGGCACAAATTGAAGGCTTTCGCTACCCATAAAAGGGCTTCCAGAAGGGCATTTTGTAAGACGTATTTCAGAATGCCTTTTGGGGGAGTTTTTATGTATAAAACTGCTTCTTTAATTCATAAAAATCATACTTCTTTAAGGTATTTATTTAAGGTTCATATCAATTATTTTTTTTTGCATTCGCGTAAATTGCAAATAGAAAACGACCTACAAGCCATGCAGGCAAGTNTCATACTTCTTTAAGGTATTTATTTAAGGTTCATATCAATTATTTTTTTTGCATTCGCGTAAATTGCAAATAGAAAACGACCTACAAGCCATGCAGGCAAGCATTTTTTTCAGTCCTTTTTGGGTAGGCCTTTCGGAATGACTTCTTTGAAGAAGGCCTACCTAAATTATCTTCTGGGCAATTAGTGTTCAACGTTCATCACAGCTAGTTAACTTTGTTGTTGCTTCACATACAAATTTTTCGTTAAGCTAGCGGATGGTGGGCAGAGAAGTGACCAAGCGAAGGCGGCTAATATGGAGTTCCCCGAATTGACAAGTGCATAGGAAAATTCTAATATTATATAAATCGCTCTAAACTTGCTCAAAGTATTACAATCTCGTAAAACTTCCGCTAAGCATTCTGGTAAGCTTGTAACGTTTTAGCCAGTTTCGTTTTTAACGGATATGTATGAACATACATAAGTTACAACTTCTCACGCCCTATCGCTAGCGAAAAGAACACTGAATCTAGCAACCCACCGCTTTTCTACTTCACAGTTAAGGTGCTTGCACTTGGCTTGTATTACACACATATGTATATATTTCTCCATTTCTTCACATAATAATTATACGCTCCCATTGTGCGATCGTAATGTTAAATGCTTTTAAATATGTATGTATGTCCATACATAAGTGTTTGTTGCTGTTGTTTTAATGTGACACCCAACTCTTAGCTCTGACTGTGGCCGCGTGCAATGAACGCATTAAAAGTGACTGTTTCTTGTTTTTACTGCTGCATGCAAGTTTGAATGTAAATACATATGTGAAATTTAGCAAAAGCTAATGACTTCTTTAGCTAACGCTTCTGACGATGCGCTAACNTGTTTCTTGTTTTTACTGCTGCATGCAAGTTTGAATGTAAATACATATGTAAAATTTAGCAAAAGCTAATGACTTCTTTAGCTAACGCTTCTGACGATGCGCTAAGTGCTTTCGGAAGTTGGCAGTAACTAGATCCGAATAGTACTGCATCTCCAAGTATTTCATATTGACGGTAATGCGGCACGGGTTCGTTTTCCATAACAACAACAAGCCACGCCGGCACAAGTATGGTGTGACTAATGCGAGTTATAAAACCTGATAAAATTGTAGACTAAAGATTTTTCAAGTACCGCACACCTTGCCGCCACCACAGACTTCATTCTGTTATTCATTCATACTAGCGTGGATAGTACATAAGTACCTATGTACATATAAACTTGATGCGGCGCCTAGCTTACGGCCGATTGTACATATACGCCGCATCTGCTGCCTAGGTTTAAACCCTCAACTGCTTAGGCATTTTACTGCTACTGCTGTTGTTAGATTTTTACCTTCTTTTTGCAAGATATTTGTTGTGTGGATTTTCTGCAGCGCCACCGCAACTGCTACTCCGTTTGGCTTTACTATTGCTCTACTGCCGCTACTGTTGACTGATGGCAACTTTTCCAGCGCACGAATAACATCTGCATTTCTTTCAAGCCGCTCGCTCGCTAGCTCCGCTTATTATATTTTCACACTTGGCAGCGTCTAGTCGTTTGTTTTGTGCGCGTCAGCTTTTGCGTTTGGCTTTTCATCTAGTGTTTGGAATCGCGCCTTGTATGCATTTACATACATACATAGTAAGTTTTGCATTTCGCATTATATGCTTAGCTTCTTACGAATATTTCACGGCTTAAGACCGTCAGTTGTTTCCGTTCGTTTGCCATCACTTGCTGCACCATCTTGCGACTCTGGTAGCTTTTGATTAACTTCGATTGCAATTTTTTTATTACCGACCGCGCCGACCGAAAATGTTATGAGTTTGCATAGAAATGTGTTTATAAATTTTGTAAAAATATTCCGCGCTCATTAAGTGAGTGATTAGTTGATTAGCGGTTGATTAGTGAGTGAAAATTTTGGGGTTTTAAGAAGGACTATCTAATGCAGAGAAATGTTCAAAAGCACCGATACTACAAGACTCGATAAAATAGTGTCCAAAAGCAGAATTGAAATTAAATTTTAGAGCTGTGTTTGGTGAATACGGTTGGAAAAAAAATTTTTAATAAGGTAATTACAATATTTTTGTACTTACCTACAAGAGAGCTAACTAAAAAAAAAAGAAAAAAATAGCACGATATTTTTGCACAAATCAATTCAATTAACGTAAATATATTTTTGTTCATAATTATATTCACTAACCAAAAAACTACTGCTTTACCTATTTTTGTATTAATTGCGTTGAATCTGTACGGTCCATTTTTGTGCTAGCTCCCTAAAGATCTAGACACATATCCATATATATTATTATTATATTAGGCTAAAAATTAATTCATAGTATATCGTCATCAGCAATGCAAAGAACTGTATTAACATCGTTGATTTCTTATAGAAATGCGGAAAAGCTTCAAAATCTTAAAGCCAAAACATATATCCTCTTGGGAAAAATATTTGGAATATTAAATGGAGGTGAGAAAAATGTCACTAAAAGCCAGTTTTACCAGTTTCTAAACTAATACCTCTTCGCATAAAAAATATGTCGATAACAAAACTATTACTAGTTATTGTGTTAATAATTTAACCTGCCGGTACCTTAGAATTCTATAAAAATATGTTGAAAATAAAAAATAAAAAATTGCTTTTTAATGTTAATAAATTAAAAAAATATCTTACACTAAAATCAGGTGATGTATACACAAAAACATAAAAAAATCCCCTTTGAAATTGATGATACATAGCCTCTTTACCAATAAAAACGTGGCAACCCTCATCGAAAATATTTGTGGATTAAGGTTCTCAAAAATCTATATTAAGATGTTTTAGTTAAATTTTGTAGATGCGAAAATAAGTGGCGACCTTACACTTATATCCTTAGGGATAGGCAAAGCCTTGTTTATAAGAGCCTTCTTTTAGTAACCTTGAATAGTATTATTATATCTTAATTTTTTAAATATTAAATTAAATAACAAAACAAGCGAAACTAGAAGTAGGGGCCACCCTCGATAAAAGGGTTTTGCGGTAACAAACAAAAAAAAAAAAAATATTCAGACGAATTGATAACCTCCTGCTTTCCGAATGGAAAACGATAAGTTCGATAAGTTTCAGAACATCGAATCATTTTATGTCCTTCCATAAAAATGACGGATCATTCTCTCTTGCCGTTTTTTTTTGTTTTTATATTGTTTCATCTTTGCAATGCCTAATTACAAAACTCTATAAAAAAAAATTCTATAAAAATCTCTAAAACAGATGCATTTAGTATTAACAACGCTTTTTTCACACGCTGTCTGCGCGATGATATTGAATGTAATTAACTGCCCGTGGCAACTTTTGAAACAAAAAATGTGTAAAAAAAATAAAAAAATGTAAATGCCCCAATAAAAGGTCCAACATTTTTATAGAAAACCGCTACGTCATGCCTAATCATTTCGCACNAAAAATGTGTAAAAAAAATAAAAAAATGTAAATGCCCCAATAAAAGGTCCTATGATGCGCCAACATTTTTATAGAAAACCGCTACGTCATGCCTAATCATTTCGCATAAGTATTGCAATAGCTGAAGATTTCAATTGAGCGAACGCTAGAGGCCAGTACGAAGACAAATTATTATGTCAGTAGTGATCAGTGAACATTGACCGATGATGATGTCCAGCATGATGCCGATGGAGATGGCCAGACAAAAAAAAAGCGTGCAGTCATCATGAAGTAAAATAAATAAAAATCAAAAGATGACAATTGAGGAAAAACAATAAAAAAATGGAGATGATGTGTAGCATTTTTGCTTATGCATGAAATCTGTTAATGAAATACGTAACTACTACTTGGATTTGACAAGTTAATCGTTTGGTTGGCGACCAAATGGCCTCAGGCGTACATTATCGATTGAATGCAAAAGAATAAATGTGCAATATAAATGTAAAGACACATAATAGGAAACAGTTATTATATAAATAATAATATAGTATAACTCATATATGTATATACATTAGTATGGATCACTCTCCATAAAAAAATCGGAATTATAAAATTTATTATATTTTATTACTTCCGCCAAAATATTTCGGCAAAATATTAAGATTTACGTGAGCGGCGGAATTATTAATATACATAGTTATACAGGTTTTATAATTTCGTTTTTTTTTTGTGTGGCACCCTAATATGCATACATACATACATATGTATGTTTGTTTATGGCACATTTTTATATTAATCTAGCGGCATATTAATTTCGAAATTCGCCCCAAGCTAAATTGATTACACATATTCGTTCACGCCTTATTGTTTACTCCGCTTTTTGCCACCTCTTATGCAGTTTCTCGGATGGATTAGCTCATCAACAGATGTGGTGTAAACTATTGACTGCTTGTTTTCAGCTCATCTTAAAGCAAATGCACATGGCAATATTAATAAGTACGTGTACTATTTTATGAATAAATAGTCAAATACTAAGAAAAAATCAATGACGGTGATGGTCACATAAATCAAAATATGTGCCTTTGAAGGTTTCGCGCAAGCGTAGTGTTTTCATTTAAAATATTTGTGCATGGTATTAACATTTCATGGACATATGTGTGGCACGCTTCTCTAAATACAATTAGCTGTAATGAAAAACCCACAAATTTTGGAGTACTAACAACCAAAAACACGGCTCTATTAAGATAACAGCCACCGTAGAATGCAGAAACGAAGGGCAACAAGATATATACATATTGACTTTATATCCATTTATGTACATATATATCGATATTGAAAAGTTTGATTTTAGTGAGAAATAGTAAAGAATAGAACCGTACTTTCCGAACATAAAAAAGAGTTAGCGAACAAGTAATTTTTAGCAAAAAAAACCTGACTTAAAAAAAAAATATATATATATGGCTCATTCCATCTCAAATCACCCAGGCCGGGGGAAAGTGAATTTAAGTTTGCGATAAAACTCACAGGGATTGTTCCTTGAACAATTTAAGGAGACACGTATTTTTTCTTTTTGCTCAGAAATGCGAATTTTTCGAATAATGAATTTTTTATCTATCTCACGTACATTAGAATAATAATAAAGTTAATGTTTTTCATTTCTAATAATAATTTTATGTAAATTTTTTTTTCGTGTGGCTCGTTGTAGCATTTAGAATTTACATGTGGCTCTCTTCGGCCTCGGCCTTGCCCACCCTTGTTATATGTTATTGTAAGTTTACATCTGTTAAAGAATGAACCTGCATACAACTTTTTTTTTGAAAATACATAGACGATATGAGTTGGATAGCGGTCAATGATTAATGATAATAACAGATTGGCGCTTACACAATATGTTAGTGTTTGGCTGAGCTTTTGGCGCACTGCCAACTACTACACCACAGCTGTCAATGATTACATATTCTTATTTAAAATTTTTTTTTGCGATAAAATAGCTAATTACTCCATTTTTTTCTTTATTTTTTAGGTTGTCTGATTTAGAATTATATACAATACCGCAACGCAGAACATCTGATAGACTTGAACGAATCGCCCAAGCGCGACAACTGGAAGTGTCTAATAAGCCGTATCGAAGTAAAATATGTGAGACAACGCGTTGGAAAAACTTCTGCAACCTTTATTAGCGAGGCGTAAGAACAACATACTAAGCCAACAAAAAAAGAAAAAAAAAAAAAAAATACGGTTAACCGCATATAAACTAAGCAACAGCATTAAGATTGTAATTGTCAACCCGACTTGTACGTACATAATTACCTCAAACCATAAACCACAAGTGCAGCTAACATTTAACCGCTAATAACATAAACAACTGTTAACGGTAGTTTATTGTTGTAGTAATTGACTAGCGTTACACACACACACACACACACATTGAAGTACTCATGTTCTTGCAACGGTGGCAAATGACAGTCAGCGCGTTACAGCTGCCGCTGGTCTTGTCACTGTTGCTCATGTGTCACGGTGCCTGGACAAAGAGAACGACAAACGAAGCTACAGCCAAAGCTGCCAATGCAGCAGATGGTTTAAAAGTCGCCGCGTCGCCAACACGAGTACCCTTGGTAGCTGTACCACTGGTTTCGTCATCGGAAGCCACACTTCTAACAACACGTCGCCTGTTTCCGCCATCAACGTCCTCATTTACGCCGCGACGCCAAGAACGCGCACGACACCGCTATGATGAAGAAGTAGCGGATGTGGAGGTGGCGCCGCCCCCACAAGTGGCCACTTCTGCTGACGCCAAAGCGACTAAAAGTGGCCGCAATCTAGGCAACTTGCCGAAGAAGCGCTACAAAGTGCTCGCGGTGCATACAAATTGTACGCGCGACCTTTTCTCGATGCGCATCGATTTGAATCGCGATTTCCGTGGCCTTGTCTATGCCAAGGACTTTCCGTTGGAGTGCAGCGCACGCGGCAACGCACAACAAAATGTCACACTGCGTTTGCCCACATCCGGTTGTGGTGTACGCGCTGAGCCGCGCGCTGATGGCGTGATGGAGCTTTCGGTGCGCGTGATGCTGCAAATGGAGCAGAAATTGCGGCAGAGTTCGGATATCTTGCGTACAGTGCGTTGCAAGTTGCCGCCAACGGCAATGGGCATGATGGTGGGACCTGCAGCGGGCATGGTGGGCAAGCGGGCGAGACTCAAAGCGGGTGGTCAACAGCGAAAAGTTGCGCAGAATTACAGGTAAGTGGGAGTTACACGCGATGTGGGCTACGCGGAGCTAAAACCTAACTGATTGTTTCGGTTTTCTTTCTACCCAGAAACGGGCGAATGCGCACGCTTATTGCGTCACTAAGCAAGGGTGATAAAAATGACGCTACGACAGCTAACAATGAAGATTTCACCGATGCGCCACAAACGGATGTGCCTGCTGTTGATTTGAAAGAACACCAGCAACAGCAGCAACAACCAGTAGAAGAAAAAGGCCAACAAGAACCGGAAATAAGCGCGACCTCCAAAACTCCTGAGTCAACAGCAACTGCAGCAGTGCCCACGAATGCCGCTACTGAAAGCGGCGATGGCGGTGATGACGCTGCCGATAGCAATGCCAGCGATGGCGTTCGTGGCGCTTCAACCAGCACAGCCAGCAACAGTGCCACTCCGCGCGTGCGCATTTGGCTCGAGCTGGGCGGCCTTGATGGTTCCGGCGCGGTGGAAGTGGGCCAAGCCACAATGTTAACTGTACGCGCCATAGTACCAGGTTCGATGGGTGTGCGCGTAGTGGACTGCGCGGCGCTCGATGGACTGGGCGATTCGAAACAACAGTTGCTGGACGAGCGTGGCTGCACAGTTGATGAACAGGTAAGTGGGTGTTGGTAGTGTGTGTAGCTTAATAAAATATTTAAGTTAATGGAAAATTTTAGTTGCTCACCGATTGCAAAGTTAACCGAGGCTAAATCGAGTTTTATAATTCTTGTGCACAGCAGCTTTTCGATATACGTATGTATGCATGTATGTATGTATATGTGAGCCATCAACTCTTTTTGGTCACATTACCATCTGAGAAATGCACACTAATTTTGTTTATTTTTTCAACTGTGGAAAATCAATGACCTCGAGTTCGTTTAATTAAATAAATTAATGCTTTAAATTTTGTACTCGTATGTAAATACATTTCTACCTAATTATTCAAACGAATTATCCACTAAGCTAAGCTGCTGCGTTCATTATTTCTTTGCCAAATTTATTTATACGCAAACCCCCAATCTCTTTTTCTTAATTTTTCTAGCTACCGTTATTTTGCTAGAAGCCGTTTTGTGCCTGTGAAAAATTAAGGTGATTAGTAAAGCTTTCATCTAGATGTTTAATGATTAACTTTGCATAGTTGCTATTACGGAAAAGAAAATTAGGGAAGGTGTACATTAGAGCGTACCAGGAAAAAAATTCACTGTACACCACTGAGACTAAAGAAAAGCTTCTTGACATCAAATACGCAGTTCTAGTACTTACGCGCCAGATCTCAGTTCCAACCACCCTAATGCCAGTAAATTAAAGTTCTTCAAAATTAATTAAACTTTTGCTAAGGAACTATTTTCATTATTCCAGGTAGGTGTCACCGAAAAATGTACAACGGCGAGCCCTAGGTTCAGCCATGAAAAAAAAAACTGTTTGCGAAATTTCCCTGCAAAAATACTTTCGACTCAGTGAGGGGTGTAAGTCGAACTGTTTTGGTTTGCTTTTAAGGTGGTTGTATGGTCTAATGAACATACATAAATACATATGTACAGGCATACATATGTATGTAGCAACATAGAAAAACAAACTTTCATTTTTAATTGAAACTTGTTAGCCCCCTTCTTGTTTTTTTTTGCTTCAACTTTCATTCTGAAGTTAAGCAGAAAGAGGCTTTGTAACTTTTGGCCATCTTTAATGCCACTGTTTCAATTGCTATTATTTGAATTAGCGTGACATTTCTTTCACAATTGTTGCATACAAATATCGCTACACACTAAATTTGGGGTTTTCATTTTAACTATTTTTTAATTATTCGTAGACACATCACAGTATTTTTATTGTATTAATTTCATTTAATTTAATGATTAACGGCCCAGCTTTTATTATTGGGCTACCAATACGTTCAGAGCTGCATTGTAACTCCACTAGTTCATTTCTTTACCAACCTAAAACTCTCATAATAAGTTCTAATACATGTATGGAATTGTTCTTCACTTTTGTTGATTATACTCACTAGCTGATTTTGTTATGGTAATAAGATTGAAATGGTGCCAAAAGTTTTCTATAAGTAGTATGACAGACAAAATTCGTATTTAGTGCAGTGAAAGTGTGAAATTTCTTACTACATGGTTATATTGTTATTAAGACC